TGCACTCCAGCCTGGGCTATAGAGCGAGACTCTGTCTCAAAACAGAAAAAAAAGGGTAATAGGCTGGACACAGTGGCTCATGCCTCATGCCTGTAATCCTGGCACTTTTGGAAGCTGAGGCCAGAGAATCGCTTGAGCAGGCATCTGTAATCCCAGCTACTCAGGAGGCTGAGGCAGAAGAATAGCTTGAACCCGGGAGGTGGAGGTTGCAGTGAGTCGAGATCATACCACTGCACTCCAGCCTGGGCAACAGAGCAAGACTGTCTCAAAAATAAAAAAATAAAAAAAATTAAAATATTGGCCAGGCACAGTGGCTTATGCCTGTAACCCCAGAACTTAGGGAGGCTGAGGCAGGCGGATCACCTGAGGCTCGTGACCAGCCTGGCCAACATGGTGAAACCTTATCTCTACTAAAAATACAAAAAATAGCCAGGCGTGGTGGTGGGGGCCTGTAATCCCAGCTACTCGGGACCCTGAGGCAGGAGAATCACTTGAACCCGGGAGACGGAGGCTGCAGTGAGCTGAGACTGTGCCATTGCACTCCAGCCTAGGTGACAGAGCGAGACTCTGTCTCAAAAAATTAAATTAAAAAAAAAAAAAAGCAGGGTGGTGAGTGCCTGTGTTCTCAGCTACCCGGGAGGCTGAGGTGGGAGAATCAGGAGCCTAGGAGTTAGAGACTTCAGTGTTTGCGCCATTGTACTCCAAACTTGGTGAGAGAGAGAGACCCTATCTCAATCAACAACAACAAAAACAGTAATAGTTGAATACAGTATTTTGGTAATGTAAGTGCACTAATGAGAACAATGAAACTCTTGAGGTTCTAAGTTTGTCATCTGAGGTGCAGATGGTCATCTCTAAGGCCATTCTTTGCTCATGAAATTTTGTTATGTGTATTTTACCACAATAAAAATAACTTGGGGCCGGGCACAGTGGCTCAGGCCTGTAATCCCAACACTTTGGGAGGCCGAGGTGGGTGGGTCACTTGAGATCAGGAGTTCAAGACCAGCCTGGCCAACATGGTGAAACCCCGTCTCTACTGAAAATACAGAAATTAGCTGGGCGTGGTGGTGCGTGCCTGTAACTGTAATATCCCAGCTACTCAGGAGACTAAGGCAGGAGAATTACTTGAACCCGAGAGGCAGAGGTTGCAGTGAGCCGAGATCACGCCACTGCACTCCAGCCTGGGTGACAAAGCAAGACTCCATCTCAAAAAAAAAAAGAACGAGGAAACAATACAAAAACAGGAGGTGAGCCAGATGTGGTGGCAGGTCATTGTTTGCTAACTGTGGTCTAAAGTACCCATTTGGTTGTTCCATGTGCTTTCCATCTGCCTGGTCCTAGGAATCCTGGTTTCCCTGAGAGAGGGCCACCTAACTCGATGCTACACTGCTTTTTTTTTTTTCTTGGTAAAGACAAGGTCTCATTATGTTGCCCAGATCTCACACTCGTGGGCTCAGGCAATTCTCCCACCTCAGTTTCTCAAAATGCTGGGATTACAGGCATGAGTCACCACACCTGGCTTAGCTGCCACACTTCTGAGGCAGGGGTCTTTGTAGGCTTATTGCTTGGCCAGCTGTGCTCCTAGGAGAAGCTGTTGAAATCCCTACTTTGGTCAGAAGGAGTTTGGTACAGAAGAAGCATTTGATTTTTGGCATACAGGCATTATGTGAAAATACTGATAACATTGTCATAGGGATTTTTCCTTTTTAATACTGTCCTTTTTTGTAAACTTTTATCCAAAGATTGAAAGAAGCCATAAGTACAAGTAAAGAACAGGAAGCAAAGTACCAGGCCAGCCACCCAAACCTTAGAAAGCTGGATGATACAGGTAAGTGGACACCTGTGTGCACAGCCCTATTTGAATTCTAGCAGGGAGACCTCTGGGTTTGGCACTGGTCCTTAGGGGGCAGTAGCAACCTCTCGGGGGAGTGGGCAGGGGCCCCAGCTGCCAGCATCACCCATGCTAGCCAAAGGGCCTTAGGGACCCGGCATGCTCTTGGGGAACTGGGGGTGTGCCTTATGGTAGGGCTCCTCCCTCCTCCCTGCCTCCATGGAGAGGAGAATAAGGAAGTGAAGGCCTGCGTTCCATTGAAAATGAGCCTGCCTAGCCTGGTGCAATAACACACACCTGTAATCCCAGCACTTTGGGAGGCCAAGCCAGGTGAATCACCTGAGGTCAGGAGTTTGCGACCAGCCTGACTAACATGGTGAAACCCCGTCTCTACTAAACACAAAAAAATTAGCCAAGTGTGGTAGCATATGCCTCTAATCCAAGCTACCTGGGAGGCTGAGACAGGAGAATCACTTGTACCTGGGAGACAGAGGTTGCAGTGAGCTGAGATCATGCCACTGCACTATAGCCTGGGCAACAAGAGTGAAACTCTGTCTCAAAAAAGACAATAAGCCTGCCCATCATCGGTTCCTGCCTATGTCACTCTCAGTTGTTCCAGCAGTAAAAAGGCAACTGCAGAAAAACCCCTTGGTAAATAGCTGTCCACGTCCTAATCCCCAGACCCCGTGAGTCTGTTAGGTTATATGGCAAAGGCGGAATTACAGTTGCAGATGGAGTTACAATTGCTAATCAGCAAGATGGGGGAGATTATCCTGGGTTGTCCAGTTGGGTCCAGTGTCATCACAAAGGTCCCTTTTAAGTGGAAAGAGAAGCAGAAGAGAGAGTGGCAGAGTCAGAGATCTGAAGATGTTGCTGGCCTTGAAGATGGAGAAAGGGACTCACCTGCCAAGGCACACAAGTGAACTCTAAAAACTGCAAAAGGTGAGGAATTAGATTCTTCCCAAGAGCTCCAGAAGGAGTGCAACCCTGAGGACACCCCGACTCAGCCCAGTGAGACCCACGTTGGACTTCTGACCTCCAGAACCATAAGACAAGTTTGTGGTCATTTGTCACAGCATCAGTGAGGGGCTAATACAGCCTCCAGCCCAAGCAGGAGGAGCAGCAGCCACATGGACAAGGTGTGCAAGACAGTGAGTGTTGGTCAAATCATTCCACTTCTATCAAGTGATAGGCCCAGAAATATCCCTTATCTGGAAAGGAATTTAGGGCTCCTGGGGCCTCCTCCATAGGCCCCCCAACAGCCAGGGTACATTGAAATTGGTGCTAGAAACCAAAGGCTTAAAACTGTGCTGCCTTCAAGAAAACGATACACCATGGAAGCTCTGGAACCCACCATGGTTGTGGTCGATGCAGGTGGGGAGACCAGATGGAGGAAGAGCGGGGAGCAGGAGAGACTGACATCATCAGCACTGTTCAGTCTGGAAAGGCAAGTGGAGGAAGTGAGTGTAAATTGAAAGGCAAGGGTGGGGAAAATTGGCCTCATCACACCCTGGAGAAGTGGCACAAGACACTGCACCCAAGCCACAATTTTAAGGAATTAAGGAGTTTCCATTTGTGTCGTATATATTAAAAGACTGAAAAAAAAAAATCGGTACAGTTTGCAGAATGGTTTCAGTTGGTTGGTGCTGGAGGAAATATGCTAAGTCTAGAAAGTGATGTTTCCCTAAAGGAGATAAACTGGGATGACAGGGCTTTTCTGTGTGCATTTAGAAACTGAAGTTCATTCAAGCCAAGAAAGATAATTTTAAAAAAGAAGAAACTAGGGTTCAAGGAAGATTTCTTGTGGCAAATGTGCATTATTTAACATTTCTTTTTTTTTTTTTTTTTGCTTATTTGTTTCAAGTGAAAATATAGCGTAGAGATAAATTTCGGAAAGAAACAAAATTACCCATAATTCCATTTATGTAATGTAACAATGTGTATTTTTAGACTTTGTCCACAGACTGTGTAGTTTTGCATTATTGCAGTTCCACTGTATATTGTCACTTGTGTGACTCGTGTCTTTCCTGAGCTTGTGCACCAGGGTCTGAGTAGGTGACCCTTAGTTTGAGGGTCTTTCATCTCCCAAGGACTGAGGGAAAGTGGGAACTATCCCCTACCCTGTGGAAGCATCTCTCCTGGCCCATGAGCCTGCACTGTGCTCCTCCCTCATCCCTCTGGATAGCCTCAGAACCAACCTTTCATTCCTTCCACCCATTTTCCAGATGAAATTGTTTTGGGTGTGTGAAGCAGCATTTGAACAATGTCAATTAACCACTCTCCTGGTGTTTCCTTCTAAACTTAGACCCTGTCCCCAGAGGGGCTGGTTCTGCTGTGAGTACCGATGCTTACCCAAAGAACCCACACCTTCGAGCCTATCACCAGAAGATCGACAGCAACCTAGGTAAGACTGAGCGCCACACCAGCTTCTGTAAGCCACTGTTCCTTCAGGCAGCTCACGCCAAGCATAGCCCCTACGTGAGGACCTCCATCTTCAGCTCCCTCCCCACACATCGCATCCCACACTAAGCTGGGTCCATCTTGCCACCTCACTGTCTCTGGAGTCTCTCCACTTCTCACCATTTCCTACTTCCAGCCCAACCGAGCCCTCCCCACCTCTCACTTTCATGAACAGCACCAGGGACCCAGGAGTCCCTAAGAGGCGATAAAGTGGAGCCTGGACATGACCGCTTACTCCATCCTTCCCTTCCCACCTGGCCACTCAGAGCCCTGTTTTCCTCCTTGTGAAACGGGCTGCCTCTGAGAACAGTGGGAAGGTTACCTGAGCCAGAAAGTGCCTGGGATGGAATTAGCGCTCGTGTTGCAATTGGCATTTTGGCCACACAGCCTCCAGCATGATGTTTCAAAACAGAAGGGTGTGCTGGGGGCCAGGCGCAGTGGATCACACCTGTAATCCCAGCACTTTGGGAGGCCAAGGCAGGTGGATCACCTGAGGTCAGGAGTTCAAGACCAGCCTGACCAACATAGTGAAACCCTGTCTCTACTAAAAATACAAAAATTAGCCGAGCGTGGTGGCTGGCGCCTGTAGTCCCAGCTACTCGGGAGGCTGAGGCAGGAGAATCACTTGAACCCGAGAGGCATAGGTTGCAGTGAGCCAAGATAGCACCATTGCAGTCCAACCTGGGCAACAAGAGTGAAACTCCGTCTAAAAAAAAAAAGAAGAAATGAGGGGTATATTCTTCCAGAACTCTCTCATGGAACCCCACACACTCACAGTGCAGTCCAGGCTCTCTTTGCCTGCCCTGGTCCCTTCTGCTCTCATCACCTGCAGGCTCATGTGGGATTTCTGATGTGAGTTCTTTCTGCCTCGTGGCCCCTATCTGCCTGGATGAGCTCCCCCAACTCTCTGCAGTCTGACTCCTTCTCTTTCTGTCAGTCTTGCATTAGTGTGGTCTCCTCTCCCTGTCTCTTGGGACCCTTGTGTTTCCAGGGGGCTGCCCTGGCCGTTTGTGATTATGTATCTGCTGGTTTGCCTGCTGTGTTCCCAATCAGAATGTAGATTCCAGGACAGCATGGGAGAGTTTCCATTTTGTCACTACTTTGTTCCTGGGGCCCAGCAGGCAAGCACTTAGTGGTTTTGTTTTGTTTTGTTTTGTTTTGTTATGTTTTGTTTTGAGACGGAGTTCACTTTTGTTGCCCAGGCTGCCGTGCAGTGGCGCAATCTCCGTTCACCGCAACCTCAGCCTCCTGAGTTCAAGCGATTCTCCTGCCTCAGCCTCCCGAGTAGCTGGGATTACAGGCATGCACCACCATGCCCGGCTAATTTTGTGTTTTTAGTAGAGATGAGGTTTCTCCTTGTTGGTCAGGCTGGTCTCAAACTCCCGCCTGCCTCGGCCTCCCAAAGTGCTGGGATTACAGGCGTGAGCCACTGTGCCCAGCCAGTGATTATTTTTTTAATGGAAAAGTCAGTTACTTGAAGTTCAAGTAGGTGTTGGCCTGTGGGCAGTTCTGTGAGTTTATTCTAAGTAGTGTCTCAGATTTGCTGCCTCCTCTTACCACTACTCCATGAACAGAAATCTCCCCCATGGTGACCTGGGTCACCCTCTCAGTCTCCCAGCCCCTGTTAGGAGCTGGCAAAGTGGAGAGGACAAATAATAAAATCCTCCCCTGCTGTAAAGGTATCTAGTGGGAGGCAAAACTGAAACCCATGAAGATGCACATGGAGTGTCTGTGCACACGTTTGCTCCTGCTTGCTTTCTGGGAAGCCCCAGACAGCTGCCACCTCCTTCTATGCCCGAACTCTGTCCTCCAGAGCCAAAGACCTCTAAGGCAGAAGGTGTGTCTGCCCAGATCTAACCACTCCAGAGAAACCCAGAGAGGCGTGAAAGCCCTTTGTCCTTCACCAGGAGAAAGGGAGTGGTTAGGGCTAATGGTATGGTTGGTGCCTGCTGGCAGGAAGTGGGAGAAGCGACTCTGAGGAAAGATACTGAATTCAGAGGCAGGAAGAAGCACTGAGTACTGCCCACCAGTAGGGGTGCTGAGGGTGCACAGTTGGCACTGTGGACTTGCAGCTGGGCAGGTCCCGGCAGGACGCAGTCTAGAGTAGGAGGTGGGCCCTGGCAGAAGGGCGGGTGGCTGGTTCAGAGCTCAGCCCTCCGGCCCTGCTCACACAGTTCAGGCCAGGCCACTCTGGTGGGGCAGGGGATGTTGCCTTTGTTCACACTCTTCCCATCTTAACACATGCTCCCTGCTATTTCAGGAACTCAGGCAAGCTCTCTGGACTCCAGTGCCCTGGCCTGGTGGCTTTACATTATCACATATTTTATCTCAGCCTCTCTGTTTGCTTATCCTTTGCTGCCCTGGCTGCCAGTGAGCTTCCTCCAGAGGCCTGAGGCAACCACAGATTCTACTGTCCATGGAGCACGAGGCCCACGAGTTTCAGTAAGCTTAAGAAGCAAAGAGCTGAATACTATCTTTTTTTTTTTTTTTTTGAGACGGAGTCTCGCTCTATCTCCCGGGCTGGAGTGCAGTTGCCGGATCTCAGCTCACTGCAAGCTCCGCCTCCCGGGTTTACGCCATTCTCCTGCCTCAGCCTCCCGAGTAGCTGGGACTACAGGCGCCCGCCACCTCGCCCGGCTGGTTTTTTGTATTTTTTTTTTAGTAGATACGGGGTTTCACCGGGTTAGCCAGGATGGTCTCGATCTCCTGACTTCGTGATCCGCCCGTCTCGGCCTCCCAAAGTGCTGGGATTACAGGCTTGAGCCACCACGCCCGGCCGAATACTATCTTTTTTTAAAATTTTTAAATTATACTGTTTTTCTCTTTCTTTTCTTTTCTTTTTTGTTTAGAGATGGAGTCTCACTTTGTTGCCCAGGCTGGTCTCGCAACTCCTGGGCTCAAGTGATCCTCCCACCTTGGCCTCCTAGAGTGCTGGGATTACAAGCATGAGCCACTGTGCCTGACCTGAAGACAATCTTTTTATTTATTTATTTATTTTTTATTTATTTTAATTTCTTTCTGAGAGTTTTACTCTGTCACCCAGGCTGGAGTGCAGTGGCGCGATCTCAGCTTACTGCAGCCTCTGCCTCCTGGGTTCAAGCGATTCTCATGCCTCAGCCTCCCAAGTAGCTGGGATTACAGGTGCGTGCTACCACGCCTGGCTAATTTTTGTGTTTTTAGTAGAGACGGGGTTTCACCATGTTAGCTAGGATGGTCTCGATCTCCTGACCTCAAGTGATCCACCCACCTTGGCCTCCCAAAGTGCTGGGATTACCGGCATAAGCCACCACACTCAGCCTGTCTTTTTATTTTATTTTTTTGAGATGGAGTCTTGCTCTATTGCCCAGGTTAGAGTGCAGTGCATTGATCTCAGCTTACTGCAACCTCCTCCTCTCAGGTTCAAGTGATTCTGCCTCAGCCTCCCAAGTAGCAGGGAATACAAGCATGCACCACCACATCCGGCTAATTTTTGTATTTTTTAGTAGAGACAGGGTTTCACTATGTTGGCCAGGCTGGCCTCAAACTCCCGACCTCACACGATCCACCTGCCTCGGCCTCTTAAAGTGCTGGGATTACAGTACACTTTGTAATCCCACACTTTGTGAGTACAGGATCACTCACAAAGGTGTGAGCCACTGTGCCCGGCCAAGAGTACCTTCTTAAAAAAACTGATTTTGGCCAGGTGCAGTGGCTCATGCCTGTAATCCTAGCACTTTGGGAGGCCAAGGTGGACAGATCGCAAGGTAAGGAGTTCGAGACCAGCCTGGCCAATATGGTGAAACCCCATCTCTACTAAAAATACAAAAGAAATTAGCCGGGTGTGGTGGCACACGCCTGTAGTTCCAGCTACTTGGGAGGCTGAAGCAGAAGAATCGCTTAACCCGGGAGGCGGAGGTTGCAGTGAGCCAAGATCACAGCACTACACTCTAGCCTGGGCAATAGAGCAAGACTCTGTCTCAAAAAAAAAAAAAAAAACGATTTTGCTTAGATTTGTGGTACCAGTGCTAAGCATTTGTGTATCCTGATCCTTTTTCTCTTAGTGTTTTGTATTTAATCTTGCAAGTAAGAAGGCTTACACAGCACTACTTCTTCTCCCTCCCCTCTGGCTCTTTCCTGGCTGCTGTTCTTAGTAAAAAGGCAGAAAGCAGCCCTGGGCATATCTCCCTACCCCCGGCGTGCACACACACACACACACACACCTGGGCATATCTGCCTACCCCCGGCGTGCACAAAGACACACACACACACACACACACACACACACACACACGGTCACAAACCTGGGAAAGAGGCTTTACTCTTCACCATGACAGAATCAGTTAAGTCAAGACTCATCTCTGCAGTGGGTGCAACCCCACCAGGCAACACAGATCCCTCAGCCTGTCTCTCCCCCTTAGCCACACCATCAGGAAGCATCTGCAGGTGCTGCGACTGTGTTTGCTCATGCCTACATGTCATTTCCTCCTCCCACAGATGAGCTCTCCATGGGACTGGGCCGTCTGAAGGACATAGCCCTGGGGATGCAGACGGAAATTGAGGAGCAAGATGACATTCTTGACCGGCTGACAACCAAAGTGGACAAGTTAGATGTCAACATAAAAAGCACAGAAAGAAAAGTTCGACAACTCTGAAGACAGATGGATTTCTACTCTATTGTGATGAAAAGATTTGAAAGAGCTTTTTTTGAACTTCCAAGAAATTTCATTTACTATTTTAGTATGTAAATTAATGTGTGTTTGCAAATGATATAATAGAGTAGGTCTTAAGACGTTTTTGCCATTATAAGGAAGTGTTTGTCCTCCATTTCCCTAGGGTTAACACCTCACCTAGTTCTTCCAGCAAAATGCTTATTAGAGTTTTTGTCTGAGCACAGTAGCCTGGCCCTGCGTATCTTGGGCATTTGCTTACCATGCTGGAATAAGAAGAGTTGCATTTCTCACCTTAGTGAGCATGTGGAAAGATGTGGACAGAATTTCAGTCTTACAGCCACGAGCCTCTATTTCTCATTCCCAAGCCTTCCCATGAGTCAGAGCGTTAAGGGGGTGTGTGAGCCAGTCGTTTGGTGGAGGAGGGTCCTTGCCACACCTTTGTTTAGGAGTCATCATTCACACACACACACATTCACACACACACACCTCCTCACACACTGAACACATTATCTGCGATTCATCCTCTGGGAAAGGATCAGTGTTAGAATGGGAAATGGAGTGTGCCATGTTGCTCTTTTGTTTTCTGATGTCCCCGCTTCCCTCCAGCCCCCCATCCTTGGCATGTATTTTAGTAGGTGGGCTTCACACCAGCACTGCTCACTGTGACTCCTGGAAATGTGCAGGGAATTGGGTGAGCCCCTCTTCCCCACATGTTCTCATCTGGAACTCTCCATCTGTGACTGGGAACAGGTCTTATACTGGCTCGAGGCTGCCAGGCTGACTGACAGAGTGCCCAATAGAGTTTGTGGGAATGGAGTATTACACAGATGTGGCTGTGCAATGGTCTTCCTCCACCCCTCTGGGAATCACCATTAGGCAGGCCTCAGGAGGGCAAAATGTTTATTTGGAACCTGGGGTCTCCTGACCTGACTAGCATTCCCCCCGACTCTTCTGCACTTTTTGCAAGGTAACGAATCATCACTTATTTCTCTGCCACCCAGTTTTAGGACTGGAATTCTACAAGTGATGCTGACTTTGTATAGAAAAATTTAGCTAAGGGGGGAAAAATGCCCAGATACTATTTTAACTGGCTCGGCTAGTTTTCTCCTTTCATTTTACAAAAGAAATCATTTAGAAGTGTCAGTTAAAACTGATTTATTTATGCTGGTATATCCAACAAAATAGTTGGAGCCACAAGGCCCTTGCCTTTTTAAAAAACAAAATATTTTGAAGATGGTGAAAGTGATTGATTTTAATAATGAGATAGGTCACTTAAAATAACAGTGCCTTTGACCTTAAAACATGGCACTGGCCCATGTGACCTTTGCCATTTCCCAGTACTTCCCTTTACACTCTGCAGCCTATAAACAGTGGTGTCTCAAAGCAAAGCAAACCTCTTTAAGTGCTGCCACAGTGCATTAGTTTTTATGTAGCACTCTGTTTATAAAAATTCCCATCCCATAATGCATGACCTTCCTAAAAATATCCACAGCCTCCATAGGCAAGCAGAGCTTTCTGTGCTACACACTGGTTAGATTCCAGCCACCTCAGGGATTCTGATCCATGTCATTAATGACCATCCCAGGGTGTGAGGGCCTGATTAAAGCTTATCAAACTAGACATTTGTTTATTAGATGAGCTCGGCATTATTATTCTAACTGGTAAAAGGGAAATTTTAAACATAACACTCAACCCAAACAAAACTACTTCATGAGGCTTTCAGCAAAAATGCTGCTTAAAAGTATGAACCCGGGATGCAGAGCAGCTTTTATGCACAGTTCAACTTACTGTAATTGTTTCCGGTTCTTTCCTCTAACACCTTCCATGTATGTCATAACTGTTGATCACCATCAGGCATAGACTCGTGGAGATTAGTCATTATACCTCAGACCTAAGCTAATTATTTAAAATAAATACATGTGAAGGCCACTGCCAGACATTCTCGGCAGCCTTCTACTTGCATAATGAGTTTAGTGATTCAACTGACTTGAAGCACAGTAACATCTTATTTTATGCCCCTTCCCTGTCTTTTGCTGGACTGATGAAGCCAGTTACCCGCCCTTCTCTGTTTTTTTTTTTTTTTACCCCAAGTATATGGAAGGAGAGTTGCCTTTTCTGGAAATTTGTCTTCCTCTGACATATTGGAGGGCCTTGTTTTGTCCTGTTCTTGTTCAGACCCTCTTGTTCTATGTCCTGTGCTGAGGGACTGTCCTTAAGCTACAGGACAGCCAGCTGGTCCTTTCTGCCACTTCCCCACTCACATGCCCAGGAAGGCCTGGTTGCTGATGCTACTTTATAAATGAGTTGCTTGCATTTTCACAGAGAATGAAGACCTAATGTGGCTCCAGAATGAAGGACGACCTAACATGTCTCCAGAATCTTTTCACATGATGATTGGGGTCAACAAAAAAATGCTACCCTCTAGATTAGACACATTTCATGGAAACAAGCAAATGTGCCAGGGCTGGGCTGACTGTGGGATGAGATTTGGTACTGCAGACAGATTTCGATTTCCACAGTTGAGCTGGAAACAAACTGTGCCTTCAAAAAATGGCTTTTCTAACTTAAGGTGAGTTATATGTTAGGTGTGCTACTAACTTAAAAAATAGTGCACTCTCTGGCCGGGCGCGGTGGCTCACACCTGTAATCCCAGCACTTTGGAAGGCCAAGGTGGGCGGATCACAAGGTCAGGAGATCAAGACTATCCTGGCTAACATGGTGAAACCCCGTCTCTACTAAAAATACAAAAAAATAGCCAGGCGTGGTGGCTGGCACTTATAGTCCCAGCTACTCGGGAGACTGAGGCAGGAGAATGGCGTGAACTCGGGAGGCGAAGCTTGCAGTAAGCCGAGGCAACAGAGCAAGACTGTGTCTCAAAAAAAAAATTCACTCTCCTTCAAGAAAGTTTTCTAACATCTAGTAATTTGTAACTTAGAAGTGGAGTTGCCTTGTGGATGTCTTGTTTGCATTCTGTAGGAAAGGAAACCTGAATTTAACTCAGGTTGCAAGAAATAAAAATGTCAGTGCATTTAAATTTCTCTTTCTCTAACCTCTTTCTGTGAATATGTAATTTTAAGTGTATACTATACCAATTTAGTAATAATCTTATACTTTGTCCATATAGGCCTTTTCTGCAGATTTTTTTATTTTATTTTATTTT